TTCCTTCCTTCCTTCCTTCCTTCCTTCCTTCCTTCCTTCCTTCCTTCCTTCCTTCCTTCCTTCCTTCCTTCCTTCCTTCCTTCCTTCCTTCCTTCCTTCCTTCTCTATTTTGTACTAGTTTGAGTTTTCTGCAGAAAATAATATAGAAACAAGGGAACAAGTAAACTAAGCATAGCAGAGGAGGCTGTCAGGGATTTTTGATTGTAAAGGGCCATCTTCTTGAGCATTCTAGAATTTGCTTGAGGTCAAGAACCCGTATTGGCAATAACCCAATTTTGTTGGTCTTTCCTGCCCAAGGACAACCATCAGCCAAATATCCCATGGTGAAGATTCCAAATGCGGACTCTAAGACTCGCTCTTCTGGGCTGCCGGTCCTTGCCTCCCAAGCTCGTCCTTCAGCCCCACACAGCTCCCACACCCTTGCTGTGCCACCCACACCAAAGGCTCCCAAGAGGTACGAAGCCTGTGTTGGAGGTCTATGCAGAGTCTTGTATTATGTGAGAACCTGGACCTGGGTCTGAATCACACTTCTGGGATACCCGTCTCTACCATCCCACAGAATCCTCACTGGATTATGTGTGTCCACAACTCCTTTCAGGAGTTTCCAGAACTAATTCAGCAAATTCTAGGAGCATTTCCTTAGAACGAGCAGACTCCCCAGCTAAACTTGGCAGAAGCTGCCTGCATCCTCACCATGGTAAAGCTAGATAATGTCAGCCTTCCAACTGAGGCTCAGCAATCACAGGTCTCCAGATAATTAGCCTTAATTCTGCTGTAGGTTAGACTAGTAGAAAAGTTTCGTTTTTTATTTTTTATAGTAATTTTATTAAAAATTACAATTTAAAAGATAAAAACTAATAGAAACTAAAAAAAAGAATAAAAAGAAAAAATAGAAAGTGCAGAAAAGAAAAAATAGAAAAGAAAGAAAAATAAGAATATAGTAAAGAAAAAGACGTATATAAAGAAATGACTTCCCCCTTCAACACAACAAATATAAACATTTTTAGTAATTTATCACCTTCTCTTAAAATATAACAAATTATCTCTTCTTCTCATATCCCATCTCTTATCTATAAACAAATTCTTAAAGCCTCATCGTTCAGTCCTGATCAGCAAAAATCCATTAAAAGTTACCAGAAGTAACAACATATCTATTTTAACTTTGATCAAATAAACCAACTTTATATTTCTTCCTTTTACTTTTAACAACCTTGATCTCTAATCCATTCAAATAACGTCCTAGAACTTGATTACTTTTCATTTTTTCTTTGTCCCTTCTCACAAAATCCTTCAAAGCTTTAACAAGTCTCTTTTGTAAATCCAATATAGGAAGGTTATCCAGGTTACTCTTCTGGTTTGTTGTTTGTATATTCCTTTTAATTATTAAGACATCAGCCAGTTTCATTTGTATGTACAGTGTAGCATCTTTTTCCATATCATTCTTGTAGCCTGTCATTTTTAAATCCACTTTCAGATCAGTCTCAGTCTTGTCTGCATCTTTTTCCATATCATTCTTGTAGCCTGTCATTTTTAAATCCACTTTCAGATCAGTCTCAGTCTTGTCTGGTAAAACTTGTTTCTCTTCCATACCATCTTTTACAGACAGTCTATCTATAGAGGCAGACACTCTTAAAATTAACTTCTGGGTCCATTGTTCAAAAATAGCCTTCAGTATGTCCAATGTTAAGGTATTTTGCTCCATTCTGTATTAGTAAGTCAAGTTTAAGTGTTCTTCTCCTTTAATTGTAATATTTAGTTCCTTCTGATTCCCTCTGGTGTCCAACCAGTTCTATCCTATAATGTTTTTTTTTAAAAGATAATTCAAAACAAAAGCATTTTCCCACAGGAAGGATTCTTATAATTAATTCCAAAATCAAAATTCTAATCACCTTTTTGCTGTTTATTCCAAAAGATTTTTTTAAAGTCCTTAAACTTGTATTTAAAACTTTTTTCACTAAGGATTGAAGAAAACTCATCCAGTGCTGTAAAACTTGTCGATCCAAAGATTCCTAATAGTTGAAAAGCAGTTAACAAGCAATTTCCGAAAGTGATTAGAAAAGGAAGTATGCGAACCCAGTGTCCTTTTGAAGGTGCTGACCGCAGTTTAAGCAAAAAGGCTCAAGCCTGTCCCCCCGTCACCCAGAGCTCTAAACCTGGCAGAGACCACTGTCTTGCAGTCTCATCACAAGGAGCAGCTGTCTGGAGCTCTTGTGGCAATCTCATTCCTCTCCTTGTCCAGAGGAATTATCGAAGAGCCGGTCTACTGGCTGGTTCATTCTGCCAGGGTTGTCAGCTCTGCTTTTCGTGGAGCCATCTTCAGTCTGCTATTTCTTCCCTGGAAGTCCACCAGTAGAAAAGTTTCAGACATGACTCCAGACCAGAATGCAGCCTTATATTTAACCAGATTGCCCACCTCATTGCAAAGACACCAGAGATCTGTAGAGGTTTGAACCTGAGGCTTCTTCTTTCTCCTGCCCTTCAAACCTAACAAATGCTTGGCTGATCCCTGGATGGCCATGGCAGGCTCAGAGATGTTTCCTTAACACGTTTCCTTTTCCTTCCTTCCTCTCTAGTCTACAGGCCATTGACTCTTCTTGCCTTGGCAGTCTCAGCCCTTACAGATACGAATCTTCATTGTCTAACAGAATGAGTCCTCCTCAGTCACCACAAAGTGACTCTTCTTCTACCCAGAGCGGTTTATTACTCTGCTTCTTTTTTCTGCCTCTCCCTTGATTTAAACAGTCATTTTGCCTTGCACTTCTCAACCTTGGAGCTAAGTTACTGCTGACTATTGGCATAACCATCCTTTCTGCCCTGGCAAAGCTAATCATTGTTCTTTGATGCCTCTTGTGAAATTATTCATTCTTCCAGTTCCTCTTCACAGTCCTGAACTTGTCCACTAGTCTCTAAATCCAACTACATCCCTCAAAGTGGTTCTTTTTGCATGAATTGGCTTGCTTGCTATATTTTCTCATTACTTCAATAAATCTCAATATTAGTTGGTTAATGCAATTCGTGGATAGGAATAACAGTCTGGAAGAGTAGTTAAGAGTAACTTTCTCCAGCTTGTCTATCAAAACATCATTTGTTTGGTGGTATTCTTAGTCTTATTCCTTTAAGCACTCAGATATAGGAGAAGAAATATTCAAGCAATTACTGTACTGTACTGATGCTTTCTTTTCCCAAATTCTTTCCCCACCTTAGGAGGAAACCCTCTTCTCAAGAAGTAAATGTGGAGGAGCTGAGCCTGTCCCCAGTCAGAGACTGGCCAGACCGGTCTAGTCCACAGGAAGAAGAGCAGATCAGGTATTGTACCTCAGCAGATCAGGGACTTCTCCCATGTTATTGCCGCAAAGTTGGATTGAGACCATGTGAATGGTCCATCACTAACTCCATTCAGGACTGGACTGGCAGTTGAGCCATACTTCAACCTGTTGCCAGGACAGCATCCGACTCTGCCCTCCTAAGGATGGGAAGTGGTTGGAAGAACATAGCCAGGCTGCTACAATTGCCTCGTGGTGGTCTGACACAGGGTGTACTTTAGGAAAACTGGAGTCCATTTAATTATGGAGAAAAATGATGTTTTGGAAGAGAAGAAAGCCTACAAAGTTTAGGACGTCATAGTACACTTTGGTATTGCAAAATACATAATCCCAGCTCTATGTGTGTATGGGAATGTATGCTGAGATCTCGGAAGATCCTTCCTTGCAAGGCCCCAAACCCCCCATCTTAGATAGGGATGTTGCTGTTTTAATTATGCAGTGATGGCCACAGAGAACTAAAGGCTCAGTCTTATCCCGAGGGAGCCAGCCTCTTGGTGTACTGCGCGGAGTTCCTTCTGGGTGGAATATCCCAACAGTATGTTGCGTACATGATATCTAGGAGAGAGAGCCTAGCTTACGCAGAATTGCATGGACAAACCGGGGTAAGTCTGAGTTTTCATGATGCAGGAGGCCCATGACTGGCCTGTCCTTAAGGTAGCAGGCAGTGCTGCATGTGGCGTAGCTACGACCTAGTCTGGTCTATTCTTTCCTTCCTTACAAAAAAATGTTACATGAAAGCCTAGCCTGAATAAAGCTGACAGTGGGTGTCAGAGATCAATATTTATGGGCCCATCTAGAGATGACCATGGCATTTGGAAGACTGGATGTAGTTTCATTCGTTTTTATTTTTCTGACCTCTTGCTCTGATGGCTTTTTTTCTCACTGCTCCTCACTCAAAGGGCTCTTCCTGGTGGCCTCTTCATTGTGCTTCTGTCACTGTGGTGTCCCCAGGGGCAGTCAAGCAGGGAGCAGAATGGCAAAATAAGTGCTGCGCTGTTGCACCACAAACCTTTTTTATGTGTCGTGATGCTGCCTGCCCACCTCAGAGGGCGGAGCTTGTGGCACAATGGCCCATGCAGCTTTCATAATACTGGTGAAAGCAGGAGCCTTCTCTCGCCGCGAGGAAAAGCATCCTCAGTAGTTTTCCTTAAGAGAGGAAAGGGGTTCTGACAGAAAGAGGCATCATCTGTCAAAACCTGGTCCTCGGCTCTCTGGCGGGTGGATGGTTGTGCCTCACAAGGAGACAACGTAGCAGGTGGAACACACACACACACACACACACACACACACACATACACACACACACGGCATGGATCAGATTCTGCTTTACTGGGTGGAACCCCCCAGCCCCACCGAGCAGGCACAGCACCCAATCTGAGGGCAACGCTGCCCAGTAAAATTGCTCATTTACCCCCTGAGGCCAGAGGGGGAGTGGGCAGCTTTATCAGGAAAACTCACCACTTTGCCCCATTTCTTCTAACAGCCAACCAGGGAAGGGGGCTCAGAATGCAGGCAGCCAAAAACCTCCCTTTTGCTACTTTTCTACTCAGCCTTTTTAACCTGCGTCAAGTCGGTTGCAAGTCAAAAAGAATCCCCCTGATCTCTGGCCCACTGAATAAATCTTGAGACCAGAGAATGGTAGCTAAAGAGATCTCCCTTCCTTTCCCCATCCCTCTCTGTGTTTCTGACATGCATCTAGAAGTCTCCCACTGGGCATGTGTCAAAACACAAATGGGGGGAGAAAAGCAGAGGGGACGATTGGCTAGAGAGCCCCTCCCAACACTTCCTGCCACCCACCCCTGCTGTCGAGGCTGAAGAACTGATGGGTAGCAAGAGAAGCAGAGGGAGTGGAAAGAAACAGAAGCTCTTCAGCTCTCCCTTCTTCTCCTGCCACCTCGAAAAAGTGGGATGGGTAGGGAGGTACGGGGTTGAATCCCTCCTCCTCTCCTGTCAGGATAAGCAGAGGGGAGTGCTGCTTGTGCCGTTATTAATACAGGCCTTGCACTAGAGTACAAGATCTGCGTTTAAAATCAGCTCTCACTGCTTCTCCTCTCTGCCCAAACAAGAGGCGATGGAGGGGGGAGGAGGAAGGGGGATAAATCTCTGCACTCCCGGCACCTGATTTTCAGGCCGAGAGGAGAGGTAGGGAGAACAGTTCGTAGAAGAGCCCTTCATACCTCTCCCACTGCACCAAAAAACAGCCGTACAGGCAGGGGCAATGACTGGGAAGCTGCGCTGGCCTCTCTGCAGCACAAGCACAAATGGCCCCAGAGGGAAGTGCAGAGATACCGGATGGGGCGGGGTGGGGGGGACACATGATGCAGCATCGTATGGAGGTGGGATGGGATGGGATGGGATGGGATGGAAGCCTGTCGCCGGGAGTGGGAAGGGTAGAATGAACTGCTAAGGCAGGAGGAGCTCAAGAGACAATTGCTCGGTCCTGGAAAAGCAGAAATCATGGGAAAGAAACTCAAAATAACTCCATTTTGATTTCATTTGGTATAAGATAGAGTAAACAGAAACACTGAAAAGCGTTCAAGATTCTGGTATTATATCCTATAACAATAAAGAGCATTTCCAAAACCCTCATTGCTTTGCTTCCTGTTGTTGCCTGCCTAGAAGGGCCAGCAGGACCTGGGCAGTTCCCAGCCCCTGACTACACCACCCCCAGCAACGTCCAGGAGGCATTCCAGTTTCTTCTTGTGGCAAGATTTCTGCTGGGAGAAGTGGAAATTACACTACTTCAGCGCCAGAACTTCTAAATGCAACTTTAGGCTGTTTTCACAGAGAGCGGGGGTTGAGAAGAAGGCAGAGTTGTAAGGGCAGGTCACTTGACAAGGGTCAGTGAGGCATCTTGGCGCCTTTCTTCTGCAGTCAACGGCCTTTGCCTGCAGAAGGGCCTTACGCTGCAGGCCCTGAAGGAGCACCGAGTGATGGGTCACGTGTCTATGATGCTTTTGCAGCTGGTCAGTGGAGACTGTGGGGGAATGCCTTTAGGCCTAGAGTGGTCACCCAGTTCATTATTTTGAATTACTAGATAATCCATTTCATTATTCTGGATTTTTCTCCCTTCATGAATCATTACCTCAGAGTCAAAGAAAGTGGAGAATATCCAACAGCACCAATACCAATAGCAATGAGAGTAAGGGAGGGACTTTGCAAAATCCAGACGAAGTATTTTTCATGGATGGGACTTCTTTTTACCAAGACGGAACCAGATATACGGGCTATGCAGTGACCATATGTCTCCTCCTTTCCCACCCAGGTTTGTTTCTTTCTTAGCTTTGATCAAGGACTTTAGAAAAGAGTCCCATTGTTCTCATCACTGTCCCTGAAAAGGCTAGTTTTTACAGATCAGAGGAAATGGCTTTGGCTCAAGGAAAAACATGGTTTCCTAAACTTAAACCTTAAAATTCTATATAACAGTACTTTATTGTAGGAATTTCATTTACTTTTCTTAAAGTTGTGTTACTTTCCTGGGGTGAACAAAATTGCTCTATGAGCAATGATCTTGCACTTCCCAGCACCCCTTAAAGAGAAGATGAACAAGATCTGGGTTACATGTGGCCCCAACACCCGGGGGGGGGTCTCCTAGGCATCCCAAGGCCACACCACCAAATTCAGCAGCAAAATGCCCGATTTCCTGCAGTAAAACTTGTGCTTGACCTTGTTTTTCAGGGGGTGTTTTAAGATGAAGTGGGAATGCAGGACAAACCGCTCCCGTTCCCCCTCCTATCTCTGCCCCCTCCCCAAACGAGCCAAGCTTCAGCCCCGCCCTTCCAGCATCCCTTCGCGGGCGGGCCAGGGGTCAGCCGCGGAAGCCGACCGCGCCCCGAGGCAGGGTGCGCGGGCGGCCCCTCATCGCCCGTCGCGGTTGCCCCGCAGCGCGGCCAGACGCGGCAGCTCAGCCGCGAGCCAGAGCAGCG